TTTTTTTTTTTTTTTTAAATTTGCAAATTTATGAAATTTTTGTTATTAATTGCAAATAAACCTACTTTACTATATATATATATATAAATAAATGATTGATTTGTGTTTTTTAATATGTTTCGAAGTATATCACTATTTCTATTTTAATTCATTTTCGTATGATTTTAATTTGAATATCGTAATTTTACACTAAAAAATAAATCAAAAAGTATATTACAAATGTAAAAGAGTCATCTACATTCAATTCCCCCAAAATCAGCAAGTCAGAGCCAAAAAATATAAAAAATAATCCACAATTCACATTCAATCTAAAATCTTAAAAAATTTACAAAAATTCATCACCTATTAACACAACAACAACAACAATAATAATAATAATAATAATAATGATGATGATGATGATGATAATAATAATAATAATAATAATAATAATAATAATAATAATAATAATAATAATAATATAGTATGTATGTGGGATCAACAAAAAAAAAAAAATATGAATGAAAATTGGAACCCACTATATTTCGGGTACTCTTGAAAGTAACTAGAAATGGTTTGGTGATTTAATCTATTAAATTATAAAACAAAAAAAAAAAAAAAATTGAGAATGGCCAAAAGGGTAGATTCGATCCTACTCTTATGGTAGTGCCCCAACAGGGTGGCAATATCATTTTTTGTGCTTATATGTTATTTTATGCAATTGTTACTTTTTTTGTAGATATGTTAATCTTTGTAATTTTTTTTCACATATTATCATAATGTCATAATAAGAATCTAAATTTATAATTTCATGTAAATAAATATACCTTGTTATATCTGTTTTTATATTTTGTATTTCCCATTCTATATAAAAATATATTTTTCTTGTACTTATTTTATTTTAGATTGTTGTCTAGCTCTGATGCCAATTTTATATTATCGTTTTAGGCGGTCCTATTTTATGTAATTTCTTAGATTTTTGTTTATGTTTTTGTATATCATAATCTAGCTGTTTTAGTTTTTGTTCATCGTTTTTTATATATTTATATTGAATTGATTTTTCTATTAAATGATCTATCTCTTTGATTTCCTTTCTGAAAAGTTCAGCTAGTTCAAGATTTATATCCATTTTATCTAAAACTAAATTCTTCTATTGCTTACTAAGAAATTCTTCTGCTAAATCGATACAAACCTTGAAATAACTTATTTCTGCTTCTTGCGAGCTCCAAAATTTTCAATTTCAAGAGCATATTTCATTCGATTTATGTTAGAAGAAAGTTGTATACTTTCTTGTTCGAAAGTCTTCCAGAATTCTGTTTTTTCAATAGATTTTCTAAAGTTTTTTTAATAATAATACTCCAAGGAATTGCAGGCAAGATTTTTTTATTTTTATTTTAAAATTCTAGATTCTATTTTTGATAATTTTTCTAACACTAATTCTAAACTAGGATTTTCTTTTTGTCTTTTTTCTGCTTTCGTAAACAATCTAATAATCCTTGAATATTTCTAAAATCTTTGATTTATATTGACTATAGTCATATTCATTAATTTTATTTCTAAATTCTTGTAGATCAACTAACAATGATTTTAATTCTTGTAAACTAGTTTCTCTTTCATAATATTTCTTCTTGTAGGTTTTATAAGGTCTTCTTATATATACTGGTGTATTGGACGATTCCTTTTAAATTCTTTTATTTAGACTTATTACTAAATTACTTAAGTCATTTACTTGTTTATTTAATATTCTAATTTCATTTTCTTCTTCATGTATATTTTTAATACTGAATGGTTTTTCTATTTCGTTTCTTTCAACTAAATCATTGCTATATGAGTGTCTTCCTAATGTCAATGGTGCTTTACTAATCATTCTCATACTATGTTGTCTTAAAAAATCTTTTTGAATGTTATCACTTTTTATAATTGTACTTGTTTCATTAAATATTTTTTCTGTATATATTATGTCCTATTTTGATAATGCATACTTAAACTACTATTACTTAATGCATATGAAATTCTATAACAAACTACCATAGGTATGTCTTCTGATTCCATTAACGTTTTTTCTTAGAAATTACATATTATTCCTAAACAGTTATTTATTTTCTTAGTTACTAATGGTATAGGAAATTGTAATGATGCATTAAATTTAATCACTCCATATCCGAGATCTCCTTCTATTTCTCCTAATTTTCTTGATTTTTTATGCATGATTCTATTATCTTCAACTATAATGTTTACAGGTGTCTTGATTCCTTCTCTAAATGTTGATTTTAATATAATTTGAATTGTATTTATATGTATATATCCTATTTTCTTTCTCTCTTCTTCTTTTATTTTTTCTAATCTTTTTTCTATCTGACTAATTTCTACAAGAGGTGCTTGAAACTTATAGTTAGCTTGCTCTATTTTTATAGGTTGTTCTCCATTCATAATTCCATACACTATTGTATTTCTTCTAATTAATTTGTTTAACAAACTATTATTTATTCCTTCTCTTTTATCTATATCTAAATTTCCTTTATTTTTTACTTTCGTTACTAGCTTTTTATCTAGTAATATATCTGATAAGTAGGTTCTTTTTTCTTCTATATGTTCTATAGTTTGATACTCGATTTCCATTTTTATTATCTAACTATGAATAACCTTCCAAAAAAAACTGTTTTCTAAGTTTTAAATGAAAGCAAGAGTAAATATAGAATGATGATAATATACCGTTGATTTTCTCCTTATTTCCAACACAATTGGGACTTGATCCTTTTGGCATGCAGCGCCTCCGATCCTTCAACCAGCTATTCAGTGCTCCAGGAAATGCTTGAGAATATCTTATGTATATTATTTCACTCTTTATTTTACTCTTACTTCTAACTATTTAGCTGCTCATGAGTATTGAAACACACATATTTGAAACACACATATTTTTATTCATTCAGAAATGTCGTGCCTTACAAAGGAAATGGTCGGTCTTATTTATAGGTAGAGCTTCTCATATCATTGCTCACACACTAATTTACATTATTGGTCGCGTCACATCTTTAGAGACGTGCACGACTCTTAATGTCATCAACAAAAGAAAAAGCGAAAAATACAAATTACAAAAGTGAAGAATACAAATTACAAAAGTCGTAGGACCCTCTTGTCTACATCTTCTTTTATTAGTGTCGAATGACGTAAGGGCTTACGTTTACTCGTCCATTATTGCATCCTCTAACTCTTGTATTGGTTGCTGTTGAGCAGAAAAATGATGGGCATGTGGTAACCGCGGTACCCGACTCGGGTCGTTCTCAAAGGAAGGCTATTCGGAGCTTCGTCTACTAAATGATCGTCCAAATCACAAATATGGAAAATAAAATCCTAAACATTCTAAACAATTGATCGGAGGGTTGATTAACTCTAATTTAGCACTTAAAAATGAGCAATCAATTAAAAGCAAGATCAAATGACGAGCAATTAGCTAACTAGATCACCGGAGTCTCACGCCATAACCATAACGGGATGATAATCAATCGACATACGGAATAAACGAGCTACGAGCATTAGATAGCTAACCCTAGTCGTCTAAACTAGATCAACGAGCAATTAACAACTCTATCTACTCAAGCAACGCAATCAAGCATAAGCATTTCCTCCATCATCAATCAAATCCAAATTTACCCTAATAAGCATTATAAGTAAAAACGGAGCAAAAACCGAAGTAAAGAGCTTTAAAACTAAATACTCATTCTTCCATTGCGTAGACGATGAAAAACGGAGTCAAAAGCTCGAAACTTGAACGAAACCGAAGTCGCCGGAAAATCTCCCGGAAAATGACATAAGCTCCTAATCTAGAGAGCAAAATAAAATAAAAGCTGATTTCCCAAAATGGAAAAGTGAAAAATGATAGTTGGATCCCCCAAATGCAAAGGACAAAATGTATTTATACTACTACCCAAACACACACTAGAAAAACGCAGTTTTAATGAGACACTCTCGACGTAGCTATGATTTTCGCG